AGGGCTGCTCAGCATCTTTTGCATTTGGCAATGAAAATTGGCCTCTCTCCTTCCTTTCTGAGCTTTTTCAGATGTTTTGTTATGTTAAACAGTGCAAAGAATGACAGACTTTCTCTATGGTGCTGCTTAAATTTACCTTTTTGTTTGTGTTCAACTTGAATTTATTCTTTCAAGGTTGCGCCCAAGGGTGGGAGGCACAAAGCTGTGGAAGTTAATAATGAGATTTAGGGGTTGCCTGGGTAAAAGGGTGGTGTTTTTGCCTTGAAATCAAAGCAAAGCACTGGTCTTACAGGTTTCACATGGGTTGGTGTAGGTTAGTCAAGTCCAAGTAGTGAGAAACTAGATCCTTCAGTGTTGGGCGTTGCCTGCATGTGAACTTGTTTAAGGAGACTTACCAAGGCAAAACTGCAGCTGGTGCTTTAAAAATGTTTATCGGTGATCGCCAATACACTGCTTAAACCGATAGAAGCATTGCTGAAAAGCTGCTTTTCCTTCTCTGCAGTTTATTTAACCAACAGGATTTCTTTGGTATTTCTTTGCAAGGTGCTCCACCTCTTTCTTTACTGCTTTGCATAGAAAATGATTATTTTGTTTGTAATGCATCTTTGTTTTCTTCTAGAGCTACCTGTTTTCTCTTTTTATCATTCTATCTATGACATAAAACATTACATGCCTGTCTGGGTTTGTTCCAGGAGGTTGTGTGCACACTGGTGTATTTGCCCTGTTTAAAGTGCAAAGGGGCGAAAGTGTTCAGCATCTTAGTAGGAGCCAGCCGTCGTGTGGAGTTACATTTAATTACTACCAGTAAGTAGGTTTTAGTGTAGTAAGTGAGTAGTTTACTAAACATTCTTGAAATCTGAAGCAATTGAGAAAACAAACCTTGATTCTATCTTTTCCTCAGTAGCCTGCTACGTAAGCTGATTGCATCTTACGCTGCTAGTGTGCTTGAAAGATTTACGTATTTAAAAACAAAAGTAAAAAAAATTGAGGTAACTGTTTTAGGCTATGTATTGACAGTGGCTTCCTTAATTTGATACCATCTTTCAAAGCTACCTATGCTAAAGCTAGCATGCTTTGAAAAAAAGCCTAGTCTGTCTGGATAAGCTAAAAGTACTATTCTAGTATGAGCTCCAAGTTGGTGCTGCTGCAGTCCTGTCCTGTGTATGCTCCTGAGCATCCTCACTAATTCAGGGTATTAAACTGATTGAGGAGTATTCCCCCAATTTTTTAATCCCTGCATAGTGCCAGCTTGACTCCTTGAACTTGGCTTGCTGAAAGCTTAAATAAGGCACCCTGCAAGGCAGGTGTAAGTGTGCATATCTGAAGCAAAAAAAGGTGAAATGCAGAGCTAAAGCAGTTCCGAGTTAAACTGTCATGATAATGAAGCCTAAAGAGTTTTCTGCAAACTCCTTAACTTATTTTTAATGTCTTCTCCAGAGAGTTAATAATAGCACTTGATCAGTCTGGAAATTTGAGCAGTGAGGAGGCAGGAGTTCACTGTGTGTGAGAAGGTGTGTGGATGAGGAATGGTGTCTGTTTGAATGGAGGGAGCTTACAGCCAGTGCTCGGTGGACGCAAATGAACCTGTTTGACGTTTCACCGAGGCTGATCCTTGTCCTCTGGATCCAAACTTGTGTGAAGACAGGCTGTGATCTGCCCAGCGTGTTTGCAGCGCTGTCCTCATCCTCTTGTCTTCAGCAGCGCAGGGCTCCTGGAGCCTGGCAGGCTATGCCGTGGTGTTTCTTGGTGAGAATTCACCTGTGCAACCCCCGTGATGCTGAGAAAAGCGTAAGTTACCTTGGCTGAAATCTGTTGACAGTAGAAGTTTGGGGTCTACCAACTGTGGAGCTCTTGAGCGTGCGTGAGATTGCAGCATTGCCTGGGCCATTTCTGTGGGTACGGGGAAATTTCCTCTAAGTGCCAGACTCCTGAAACGGAGGAAATGCAGGGATGCAGTGAGCGAAGCGATGGCAGCCTGCAGCAGAAATACTCGGATCATGCAACTGATCAATGAGCTGTGGCGCTGGCTTTCACCATTGCTGCGTGATTCTTTACCTGTACGTACCTTCCCCTTATGGCTGGGACGTGGTGCGGCTCCTGGCGTCGCTTGCGCTGGGCACCTTGGCTCCCTTGTGCTGGGCAGAACCCACCTCCCAGCACAGGCATGGAGCTTTTTTTGGCTGCCAGGTTCAACTGCAATTTTTTCTGTATTTTGCTGGCCTGCTTAAGATAAATTATATAGATAAGGTGCTTCAGGAATTCAAGCTTGAGTTGGAGGAGGTGGTGAAAAATTAGGAGTGGAAGGACAGTCTGGAAGTGAAACTGTGGCGGATTGGAGGAAGGGAGATGGGAGCTCACTTGTCTGGTGTGGATGTGAGTTCTTAGATCTGCATGGCAAATTGAACTTTGTCTGTAGTTTGCTGATGGGAAAAGATGTGCTATAAAGGGGGTGTTTTAATTGATAAACTTAAAAGGAACCCTGTTAATACCATATGGTATTGATACACAGACATTTCTCAAGTAGGTATCTGGGTTTGAGAAAGCATTTATCCAAATTCATAGAAGAAAAAAATCTAGTGGGAAGCTGTTGGAAGCACAGAGGATTTACTGGTGCAGTGTCACTGGGTATTTACTTTGGTTTTATATTTCTCCCTTGGCATTTTCTGTAGACCCCTGACAGAAGTGGGATACTAAGCCAGGCAATCTTCTGCCTTTTTTATTAGTTGAACTATGTTAGAAAACCTCTTAAATTATTTTTATATGCCAGTCTTTTAGTTAGAGCATAATTTTTTTAAGCAATAAAACTTGACATTGTTTCTCATGCTGCTCTTGCATGATGCTGTTGAAATTCATATAATTAGCATTGCCTGTTGGTGCATAGCTTTTTATGGCAGTACAGACATTAAAACATTAGTGATCTGTATAACCAAATTACTCAGTGTTGGACCACTATTAAAGCTTAAAGATTTGATTGGTCTTCTGTAGGGTAATTTGGTTTTATATGCCTTTAGATATTATTGCACATCAAGATATTTATGCTTGACAGCTTCAATTAGGATTGCCTTTTACATTACTTTTATTAAGGCCAGCTTTTATAACAGTTTTATTGCTGTGTACCCATATGATTTCTATGACCAGTTTCTCTACAAAGTGTACACATGTAAGAATTATCTGGACAAGCTATTTTAGAAGTTCACTGTTTCTTTTATGTGTTTTTCCAAGCTTTATTTTGTTTCAAGGTGTATGTTCTTCCTCCCTATTTTACTGGTGGGTATGCTTTTGTACTTGCCATTTATTTTTGAGTGGAGATACGGACAAATTGGAGAAGAAAGGTTTCACTTTTTTAATATAGTGTCTCAGGCTGATTGCATTCAGCACTTAAGGCATCACCTGCATCTTTTTCTGCTCAAGATTGTTTGAGAGCATTTCTCCCTGGGATTACTCTGTTGTGTTGATTCCTCTCGTGCACCCAATCTCCAGGGTTCTCCCCCTTGCCACCCCCTGCTATCTGTGATGATCTACTCTTGGGTTTTGATTAAGTTTCAGGACACTAACGAGCCAGCGTGGAGTAAAAGTGGTTAACAAGAAGAACAAAGGGGAATGTCTTGGCCGTATTCCTGTATCTTGTGAAAACAAGGTGCATTAAATCAAATTCTGGAATAAGAGAACGCTTATCACTTTGCACTGATCTGTGCCCAGTTTTTGCACTGCATAGGAGGAATTAGTTCTCTCAAGATAATTCTCCCTTTCTTCACATGCAGCTTGACTACACAGTTCAGTAATTATCTTTGGTGTTTGTTTTTTTCTTTTGTAAGGGAAAAGCCTTTTCATGATTCCCTAGATTCTTGGAATAACTTCAGGATGCCTTAAATGCTGTCATCTTGGAGTCCTGGCCTCTCTAGTTTTCTTGATGTTCTAGCCATAATAAAAGTAACTCCATTATTTACGTTCCCAGTTGTCCTGTGAATACTTTAATTGAACACAGCTCCCTCTGCACAGATCATGCTTGGAGCATGCACCTGTCTCTGATTTGCCCCATTGTTCTCTCTGTGTCCATGCGTTGCTGAGCCTGGGTAGCGTTGAACTGGGAGCAATGGAGAAAAAACTGTATGAGACAAGACCAAACGGTACCGGTGACAAATACAGCATGGCTTTGTCCTGAGGATATGGAGCTGGGATTAGTTTTAGAGCTGCAGGGAAGGCGTTTAACTTGTAGTGCTTAATTTACCACTAATTGCTAATAACACCCAGGGCAGGCTGTAGGGTCCTACCCTGAATTCACTGTGACCTTGGAGTGTGTGCAGCAAAAGATAATGGCAGCTTCAGTAGTTTTAATATCAGAGTATGCATCTTATTTAGGAAAATGCACCTTAGTGATCTGTAATACGAGTCTTTTGGTTCTCGAGGTTTATTAACGTGTTCAGAAAGCAAAGGGTAGACATAAAATATCAGTCTTACTTGGTGTACAAATGTCATTCCTCCTTTCACTGTGTGCTTTGTGTTATGATCTAATTACCTTGAAATTAGTTCCATAGAGCTTATGTGTCTCAAGCTCAAGAAATGAGCTATTCCAGAAAGAATTGCCTGCAGTTAACAAGCTGACAATCCAAAGCTGTTTGTTTTGAGTGTACGTGGTTGTAGATAAGAGCAAAACTGGACTCGTGTCTCCCAGAAGCAGGCAGGGGTACATTCAGGAGGGTCTGTAATGACTTTTGGAGGACGGTACAAAAAGTTGTTTCCTTCCACTACATTCCAGCTTTTCCCTGTTAATTAGGCTGCAGTAGCTCTCTGAAACTGTTGCTTTGTAAGAATTTGAAGCACTTTAGTTAACGTTGATGTGTATGAGCACTGATTTCCAAACCTGCAGTTAAATTTATGGACCTGAGGAAGTGTTTGCCTAAACATTCAAATGCAAGTGGAGCTGGTGGTACTGGGAGCTGTTTGTTCTGGTGTGTTATGGCTGTTCTTCCCTGTCTTATTTTTTTTCCTTTTCATTACAGGTCTTGATGCAGAGTTGTCATACGTGAGGAATGATGTGGTTAATCACTACGCGTTGTCCTTCAATCTCTTAATACCCAGCGAGACCAACAACCTCCACTTCAGCTGGCATGCTAAATCCAAGGTGAGCCGGCAGAACCTGCAACTGTTTGAGTACGTGATACGTGATCTGTATTGCTTAGTCAATACCCACTATTATAATTTAATGGCTTTTTTCCTTGCAAAAATTAGCATATGCTAGGTGCAAAATAATTATTTTTAATAATACTTAGTAAGTTGATATGTATCCAAACTGTTCCTTTCTTATTTTAGAAAGGTTAAGCATTTCTTTTGAAGTATTCTATACTTCTTGCTCCTAGCAAGCTACGTGTATATACAGAAGCTGTGAGATCTCTTCTGGTGGGGCATTGAACACACAGAAGGGGCAGTCGTGAACTGAAGCCTCTGGAAATCAAACGTAGAGCAGTTGTGTTTCAGATTTCTAGAAACATATGTTTGGAGACAAGAAGAACCTATAAAAGTAGCATCTAGTATGTTATTACCGAGCCCTGATTAAATGGAAAGGGATTTTTATTTCACTTAATCACAATGGCTGGAGCATGCAGCAACAGCTGTCGTAAAGATTGCTTACGCTCTTACATTTCGAAGGATTTCCAGTTACTTAACAATTTGTTTTTGTATGTGAAATGATCTGTTTAGTCTCTGCCAGATGTTCATTCTTCTTTTACTTTTTTTTTTAAACTTGAGTGATGGTTATTCTTCTGTCCTTAAACAGGAAAGACTGCAGTAGGAACAGTAATACTTAACAACTTCGCCACTGCAATCTCTTCTCCAGTTCTGCCAGCCTTCTTCCCTCTTTCTGCTTTTCGTAAGAAGGATAACTTCTTACGAGATGTGAATTTTGGCCTGCAACGGTATTGGGTGCAGTGCGAACCAGTCTTTCTACTTGATGTCGTGAACTTGCCATTTGAATAGGACCTTTGAAGGAGTTTCCTTGTTGTTACAGCCTCAGTTATGAGCTACCTGCGGCACTGTCCCTGCCCCGAGTTTCCTGGGACATATCTCAGTTTTGGATAGGGATTTTTGAGCTTTGCTTCCCTTACCATAACTGCACCACTTGGCATCTTTCGTGCTCGCTTTGTAGGATGGGTGTAGTGCAGTTTACAGGAGCCCAGAAACTGGATTATGTTTCTACCCTTGGCATCTTGACTGAAAAATAAATTGATAACATAAATGCATGCGGAAAAAAATAACTTTGTTTGCCCCATTAGTTTAAGCCAATTTCATTCAGCTGAGTGTGGAGGAATAGGATGAATTTTCAGTAGGAGTTTATGACTTGGTTACAATAAGTCCTGTAGTTTTTTTGAATATTTGCAGAATCAGCTGCTTAAGTGAAACAAAATCTTGACTATAGTTGAAACAAAATCTTGTCTATAGTAGAATAAACTGTTTGTAAGCAATTTTGACTGTGTAGTTGAGAAAACTGACTAGAAGAAGGGAAATTTTTAAAATTCCTATGGTTTTAATAAACTGGCTTTTGAACAAGTATGTTTAAAAGTATCAGCAAGTGAGGTTTGTGGTGGGTTTTTTTTTTTTTAAATACATGCTTAAATTCTGCCCTGAATTTTCAAGAATGGTTTCAAGAGTGGCTTCTATTTTGGCTTTCTTAATCTGAACTGTCACAGAAGTCTGATATTTAGACCTCCCATAAGAAACATTTAAATATGGGCACCTATAATCGCCAGCACTCTTTGAAAATAAAATACAGGTTTTCGATTTCAAGAATTATGAAAAGATGTGTATCATTTCATTTTACTACTGTAAACTACAGTTACTATTTCTTATGTGTTTTCCATCTCTGAACTCTTGCTACAGGTTGAGTACAAGCTGGGATTTCAGGTAGATAATCCCATGGCTATGACTGCGCCCCAGGCCAACATTTCTCTACAAGGAGAAGTTCCTCGCACTCTTTCAGGTAAACTCCCCACCTGTCAGAAGTGCTAACACTAGTAATGGTTTCTGGAGGTACTTTGTTTCTTTCCAAACTGTGTTGTGTGGCATTAGAGTGTGATTTTTCTCTGTTAAACATAATATGTTTACAGGCTTTCTGCAACAGTTATGATATTGCTAGAAGAGTATTATAGATCGAGACTGTTAATCTGAGAATAATATTTTCCCACTCATTTACTGGAGCATAGAGATTTTCCTGGAAAGGAAATGTGACATTTTTTTATGTGCATGTACATGCACAAGGTTCCTGTTCCCTTTCAACAATAATAATTAACAATTGCATAGATTTTAAAATCCACAACTTTTAATTTCTGTAGTCTATAGAGATGACATTTCAAGATGTGTGGGAGTTGTTAATAAATTAGAGAGTTTATGGTAAGTTTAAAACTGAGAAATCCACTTTGATTATACTAGGGACAATTGTATTTGTTTCAGGAAGTGTGCAAGTGATCGTCATTCCTTGCGCATTCCACTGTGGTTCCTTGTACTCTATCAAGTATTCAAAGGACAGTTAAAAATACATTGATGTCTTGGGTTTTGTGAAACTAGACACTGAGCAATTAGGCTTGTTGTGTCTGCTCTGTTGGCATAAATAATACTGGTATTATTTAGAAAGTAAATAATGTCATATTAGTTTAAGCTTTGATTCTAGTCAGGTTTGCAGAGACCAAAATATTTAATATTTAAACTTAGTGGTTGTTAAAAAAACAAACCTTCATAGCATACTAAATTTTCTGGTTTTCTGTGATAATGAAGGTATCTCTTGAGACAGCACTTTAACTCCAGAGCTAATGGGTGGCTAATGGTCATTTAGCCACAAATATAATTTTGGTAATCTGTAAATGTTTAATGTAACTCACATATCTATTATTTTAGAGTCTATGCCTTTTAATGCTCTAATAGTTCTTTGAAATTACAAGGCAGGAAGGCTAAAACAGTATTTCTTAATAACAAGTTCTTTAAAATGTACATTATAAACATAATTTTTAAATGTTATGATAACATAAAATTGTTACCATTTAAATGTTCTTTCACCACAATGACTGAAAAGTAATCAAACTTAATTGTAATGCCTATTTGTTGTCTGTCTGCAGTGTTTCGTGTTGAACTCTCCTGCACTGGCAGACTCGACTCTGAGGTCACAATACTGATGCAGCTCAACTTGACAATAAATTCATCAAAAAACATCACAGTTTTAAATTTCAAACGAAGGAAAATGTGCTACAAAAGTAAGACATTAAGATTCTAATATTAAAATGCTTTTAGTGATAAAGTATGATAAGAAAAAATGAGTGAAAAGGTATATGATCCAGGACATGAGTAACAGTTCCCGAGAGTAAATGTTGGAGAGGATAGGAAGAAACCAGGTAAAATTTTGCCTTTTGGAGACAAATGGGAACTTTTGTTAAAAGCAGAAGCTGATGACTGAGCAAATTCCCCAGGTGTTCTGCTGCCCCAACTGACCTTTTTACATAAATAGCAAAAAGCATTTTCGCTGTTGTGCTTGGAAGGAAGAAACTGGTTTCCTTAAAACTGCAGCACTCTAAATATTCGAGTAATTCTAAGAATCGCCAGCAAAACCTACCTAGTTTACGAATTATGCTGCAATTGGCCATTTAATGAGTGTCAGCAGGTGTTGGTCTTTCAGACCTGGAGTACAAAGTGACCTTGGTGGATCATGCAGACTTCAGAAATCCCAGATTCACTCTTCTGTGCTTTGACTTGGGAATCTGCAAGCACTGCTTCTTCTGGAATTGTTACCGTCTCCTGTTGCCGCTTTCTAGAAGTGTTTTCATGAGCATCAGAAGAAAATTATTATGGAGACTCCAAGAACTGTACCCTCCTTCAGAATGGCTGCGGTGTCCTGTTCTCAGGCAGCGTTTGAGGATGGCCACCTCTGTCTTTACATGTTCCTCCTGGCTCTGTTCGATTACTTGGAGCCTTTGAGGGCAGTAGTTGGGTTTTCAAAGCAGAGTATGGATGTCTACGGATCAACTTCTGGAAGGTGTGGGTGGAAGAGCTAGTGTGGTTCATTAGCATGTAACGTTGTGGTACTCATGTTCCTCACATTGATGTTACGGGCAGGTCATTCTTATTTCAGAGTGTATCTCTCTTTTTTTTTTTTTTAGTGAAAATGGTGGTCTGTCTGATAACGTTGACATTTTTACCTCTATTTCGTGTTTTCCTAGGTACCTTTTAAAATGTCCTTGGGGAGGGAAGTCAGCACTGCTTACGCATTCCTAGTTTATTGAGCTGCTGAATGAGCAGTGGAAGTCTCTGTAGGCACTGTGCGGTTATCAGGGTGTGTGAGATAGCGGATAGAGCCGCTCTCTAAATTGTGCAGAAGCGATTCATACAAAGATCACGTTTCTGTGGGTTCATAAGTGTCCGTAACTTGTTTTAATGTGTTGATTGCTATAGAGCATCTGGGGATTTCTGATTTAATTTAGTGTGTAAGTTAAAAATATGCAGGAACTTGCTAGCGGTTTTGCTCAAGGCATTTGTAATAGCTCCTCCTGAAGTTTAAAAAAGAAGGAACAAAAGAAAAAGAAGAATTCTCCGATTTTTCTTCCCCCTTTCCTGGATCACTTTTTCACCGGTTTATCAGGCTGAACTGGCTCACCAAGGAGTCAGAAGGTGCTGTGCTGGGGAGGAAGCAGCTCCTCACAGCTGGGAGCAGGAAGGGAGATGTGGGAGTGGGGCTGCACCTTTGCTGCTGTAGAAATCCCCAATATTGCCTCAGCTGCCTGCGTATCCTCCGTGAGGGTCATCATCTCCGCAGCCTGCTTTGCTTTGGCTTGCACCACTCCTCCTAGTGACCAGGCTCGTAGTAAGCTTAGTGAAGATTTATCCCCTTTCTAAAGGATTACTTTCACACATGAACCTGAGTATTCTTCTGCCTTTTGTTCCATTTTAGTGAGATAAATAGGCATTACCGTTTTCATCCTTCAGTTTTAAAACACTCCTGACTGTAGCATCAGCTGCGAAGGTGCAGGGCCCATGGCTACATCTCTTAACTTCTTCCTAGGATGAGTAGAACTAGAATTTCTCCCAAAAGGTCAGGATATTATTGACCATTCAAGAAATTATTTTCTACTCTGTAGTAACTTGTGAGATCTTTGTTGTTTAGTGTCTTAGCTTACACTCGTATACTCTGCACCTCATCTTCCTACCAGCTGCTGCTTTGGACTTTGGTGGACAAGCCAGAGGGTTTTTTGATATTGGGTGGGTTCAAGCATGGCCTCAATGGACATGATGTATCAGTGGTGAAATATTATATCTGAGCCGTGTGTCTTAAAGAAGTGTGAGTTTTATGATACGGTGGTTAGGTATTGAAAACGGAAATCTGGAGATGTCTGAAGTCTTTAAGTTAGCTTGTCTGTTTGGAAAAGCAAATTTATTTTTCTATAAATGTGGAAATTGGCTTCCTGTGAAGGGCTACAATAATAAAAGTGTCCCAAACTTACTCGTTTTCTCTGATCTGTTTAGAGCTTGAACCAGAATTAAAATCTCCAACATCAGACAGAAACAGCAGCAAGGCTATCTGTAAGTAATCCTGAGTGTACAACTTAGCTTGGGTATAAAAAATGAAAAACTTGTGATATCTGTTTCCATAGCATTCCCTATGAAAACACTCCCCAGGTAGTCTGTACTGTGCCCAGTGTTTTAGTGTAATTATTTTAACTGGGAATCTATACTAGAGAAGAGGAAAGAAAACAAACCCCAGAACTATTTCAAGTCTCAGCTATTTTTTTATCATGTCTTAGTGGCTCTGGTATCCATTCACAACTCTGATCTATTTTCTTGATTTTAGGACCTGTCTAGTTTGTTCTATTAACTTGGTGGTATTGAATGAATAGAATGAGGGAGTTTCTTTTACTTGCTCCTAGCTGGAAATATCATCGACTGACTGTGTTCAACCTCTGTAATACCCCAAATGTGGACAGTTTTGCCAAAACGCTTGTGGTGTGGTTTTAAAACTGGGGATGGCGAGAGCTACTGCCTCTTCGTGCCTCCAGTCCCTGTGCTCATCTTGCTGCTCAGCAGCAGCGGAAGGCCAGTGCAGTTGACAGCCTTCTGCTGCAGGGGTGCAGTAGCAGAATTTTGCCTTAAATTACTGCAATTGAGAGTCTTTTGAATCCCATCATAGCCTTAAAATCAGGAGGAGAAGCTGAAGTTGTGTGCTCTGGCACATGTGGTCAGTGGGTAAGCAGTGATAGTGCCCCATGTCTAGGTATTAGTCGTGTTTTATTTGGCAGGGCACTTGGAGTAATTCTGGGGATGGCAGCACTGCCCTCCTGCCATGTCAGGCATAATAATTTCATTTCTTATGGAGTCTGTTTGGTTTTCTTTTTCGTGTGTTCTTTTGTTTGTTGGGGTTTTTTTTTGAGAGAGGTTCAGTAACTTTTCACCTTTTTATTTCAGTCGATCCTGTAAATGCAGCTCCCACCACTTCCACTCGTGTGTTTTATATCAGTGTAGGCGTGTGCTGTGCTGTTATATTCCTGGTGGCAATCATATTGGCTGTCTTGCACCTCCACAGCATGAAAAGGATAGAGTTGGATGACAGGTATGTATTCAAGCTTTTCATGTTCATTTCTGGGACATGCTCGCTCAAATTTGTGGGAGTTCTGGTCTCAAAATGAGCACTCTGTAGTAGCTTGCGATTTCTGCTCCTGATGTCGAGCTGTAGCTGTTACTACCTGTGCAGAGGTGTGGTAAGTGCTGTACCATGGAGGGGCAGCAGCTGGAGGTGCTCTGCTGTTTATGGGGTGGAAGGGTTGTGGCTGTTGGATTTTTGCCAGTATAGTAGTGTGCAGAAGACACACAATAGTTGTGTCCAGAATCACATCTACAGGGACTGTCAGGATTGAAGGAAAAATTTGATAGATACCTGGGCACACTGAAAATATTTGTTTTTTACTGACTTCTACAGGAGCTTGAATTTCAGTTTTCTCTATTTTGATTGATTTACTAGTGTTCAGTTTGCCTTAGGGTAGAGTCTGGGGATTACAACTGGTTGCTTATAAAGCTGCAAATGTGGCACTCTTGCAAATGCATTTTCAGCCCAGAAGAAAACAAAATCAGCACATGCCTGTGAAAAGGACTCATAAGGTGACCCCAGGGGCAGTGCTGTCAGCTGAGCTGGGATTAAACACTGTGGTGGAGGGAGGCTGCCGGAGCAGGTGGAGCGAGGCTTTGCTGAGGCTGTGACCGTGCTGCATCAGACACAACTGTTCAGGAGGAGGCAGTTTTGAAACAAAATACTCTGGAAAACAGGCGGCCCGTGGGTGGTCACCGCTGTTGAAAGGATGTCTCCAGCACTTTCTGTTCCTGCCTCTCAGAGCAGCTCTGTCCTTTCATCTTCATCTCTGTCCATTCTTCTGTTTCTTTCTGTTTTTCTTTCTGCCATTTACTCCTCTCGTGTCCCCAGACCACTTGGTTTTGGGGTAGTAAGTCATAATGATTTCTCAGGGCCTGATCATCAGAGCAAATGACTTGTCAGCTTTTCTCAGTTAATTTGTGCTTATTGTCAGCTGAGGATTTTTAATCAATAGAAGGTGTTAAAAGATGTGCAGTTTGCTTTAATTTGAAAGGAAAAGCACTACATTTATAGAGTGTGTGAATAGCGTCAACTATGAATTCTTGAGCCTAGCAGTGTAATGAAATGTCCCCTCATCCACTCCATCCACTCGATTTTTGTGGAGATACAAGCTAAAAATTCATCTAATGTTAATACTCTGGTTAGCAGGTATTAAAGAATTTGCTTTAAATCAGAATATGGCCTTTGGATGATTTCTGTGAAGTTTGTGCAGATATAGTTCTTCAGAGTGCCATGTGATGCAGTTTTTTTGAGCCCAAGGGTTCCTGACCTGATAAAACCTTGGATGGGCTCCTGGGTAAGAGCTATGGTCAACTGTGTCATAGCAAAGGTGTAAGAGAGGGAACGTGTGCCTGAAAATCAGGTTCTGTGGAGTTTTGTTTTCAGAATGGGAGCGTGCACAGGAGGCAGCAAAGAGACTGTGAGGGGCCGTTTTGGTGCCTGGTTGAGAAACTGGTTCAGTGTTAGAATTTAGCTTTGATGCTATGCAGAAAAGTTACATGGGATCTGGGACTGCTTGGTGTAGCAACTAGTCAGGGAATTAGTGAGAGAAGAAGCAGCTTTTGATTCTGTTTTGAATAACAAGCTCAAAAACATTGCCGTAAAGGGGTTCTGAATTGAAGATAACGTCATGTGGGTTAACAACCACCCAAGAGCAAGAGGCCGAAAATCCTAGTGCTGTGGCTCTTAATTTCCAAAACCAGAACTAAATAAAAAGGAGGAAGGTTGTTAAATAGAAGCTAAAGCCAGGCAGCTGAGTTTACAGGCTGCACATGGACTATTTAAGAACATTGTATTGAAAGTGTGGGGCAAATGCTTGCATACCTCCTATCAAAGGCACTTGAAAAAGTGCCAGAGAAAGTTGGCACAGCTTAACAGCAGGATAATGGAGGCTGTTAAGAGCAAGAAGGCATCATTCAAAAAGCTGACGTAGTATGCAAGTGAGAAAAGTAAGAAAGCTCATAAATGTGAGCAAGTTGAACCTAAAAGACAGAATGCAGCCAACCAAAAAGGTAGTTTTTCAACCTTGCAGCAGGCATAAAAGGAGTAAAGCCTTTTTCAAACTTGCCTGCAGCAGGAAGCCAACCAAAGCAATCTGTAGGGCTGGTGGGTGATCAAGTTACAAAAGGAGTTTCCAGCCGTAGCAGGAAAATGAAATGCAAGAAATGCAAGTTCCACATCCGTGTTTAATGCGGTGACTGTGCCAGGACGCCTCTTTCCAGGCAACTTGCTGGAGTGTGGATCATATTGAAGCAGCTTGTAGGTGCAATAGTGTGAACAGTTAAAATAAGCAGTAATAAATTGCCAGCTCCAGAGAATATTCATTCAAAAACTCTAAAGGAAGTTAAAAGGGAGTAGCTGGACCACCAACTGTGGCTTTTAACCTCGTGCTAAAAACTGCGCTGGAACCTTACACCTGGAAGATACTGAATGTGTTAATAGCTTTAAAAAAGGGTTCTCAGAGAGAGATCAAGGCCAGCTATAAATCAGTAAGCTGATGTTTGTATTGTAAAAATTAGTAGATTCTGTTCTAAAGAAAAGAATCAGTAGGTGCATGTGTGATGATGGTACAACGAGGGAGAGTTGACTTAGCTTCTTGTTTTTTAAAGGAATTTTTGCTTCAAAACTTAGAGCGGGCCTTGATGGCATCACCAAGCACATCTGAAAATCCTACAAGGCTGGCTAGCACGGCTTGGTCAGTGCTCAGTAGCAGCCCAAGAAGCAAAAGGGATGGTGCTCATTTGGCAAGGCAGAGCGTTATGCCCCAAAACTGTCTCCTCTTTGTTCTCCCGATGCAGTCAGCAGAAGTGGAGAAGCTTTTAAGTTTTTTAAAAAAAAACAAACGTGGAGATGTTTGTGTGTCTTTGCGAGGGAGATCAAAAAAGCTTCTTCCATGCTGCCATCAGAGCTGGGAACGGGTGCTGCCTTTGCCTGCAAGCTCTCTCGCTTGTCCTTAGGCCATTACAGTGCTTTTTGTGGGATTTTTGTCTATGAGGACAAGACAGAAAACATCCTGCTATGCTTTGCCTGTCTCTTGAATACTCTGTGCAGCTCTGCGGTCCTTCTACCCAAAGAAAGTATCTCAAAAGCTCATTGTAGGTGGCCCTGGGAGGGACAAGAGGTATCCTTGGGGAGAGGAGGTGGCTCTGGCAGAGAAAGCTTTCCAGAGGGTAACAGGTGCCTCTCCGGCTCAGGCTGCAGCTTTCAGGCTTCCTTAGTCATTGGTTCTCAATGGGATGTTGGTCCCACAAAACAAATGCATACGAGACTTCTCTGGAATGTAATAATTTTGCTTTCTGGTGTGACAAGGTGGTTCTTGCAAGAAATGTTTTGTCGCTTTGATTTTTCAAAAGTGGAGGAAAAGTACTGGAAAACAGAGCAAATTCTGCAAAACAAATAGGAGGAAGTTGTTCATGCTCAAAGGACGGAAGTGCCAAGATTTTTGAGTTACCTGAAATACATTTTAATATGAGAGAGACTTTAAAAATGCCATTTTTTCAAAGTCTAGCCTGGAAAATCTCCTGGTTTTAACATTGCTATGTTAATTTTGAGTTTATTGGTGGCAAGCAGTCATGTTTGTGTCCATTTTTGTTTTACAACAGCATTAGTGACAGCAGTAGCTCACAAGGTTTATCCCAACCTTCCACACAGACGACACAGTACTTGCGAGCTGACACGCCGAACAACGCAACGCCAGTAACCAGTAAGTGTTAATCTAATTACAGACCTTCTTGGACACCACCGGAGTATTCAGTGGTAGGGGGCTCATGGATCAGTCTTTTCATCTTCTTGCTGCAAGACAATCTGGGGAGCCAAGACAGACAAAAACTGACTCCTTTTTTAGAGTAATGGGTTTTTGTTTGACTCTGGACCCTGAACTGGCTTGTAACCTAGCTGTACAGGCACGAAATTGGTGCTTAGAGGGTAGGGGTCTGCATGACTGAGCACTGGAAGAAGGTAGGACTTAGCCCAGACTCAGACGGCTTTAAAGCTGGAGAGCCCATTTTAAAAGATCTAAAGAGAGGTAAGGGTTTATGTTGCAGCGTGAGAAAAATGGGAGAGCCCGGCCAGAGGAACAAACTGTCTCTGTTAAACTCCAGTTGCTGTTTCTCTCAATAGAGTGGGAGCTGCCAAGCTGAAATAGTACCTTGACACTCCTGACCTCTTTGAAAAATGTAAATTAAATGGCTCCTGTTTTCATCTGCCACCAGTGATTTTCTCTTCTGAAATACAAATAGTATTTCTCAATAGTTTTATACTAATTTGCCAAAGAGACTTTGTTCAGCAATCTGATGAGTAGAAATGTTAGTGCAGATACTTTATTTGGAGCTAAGTAAAAGTAAGTATCAATTACTTGATTTTTTTTATTTTAAAGCAAACAATAAGACCCAAAAGTCTCTCCCATTTTCTTCTGATTGCACTTAGCAGTGATACAGAGCACCCCAATTCCTTAAGGAGCACTACACAAATACCCTGATGACTGCTCTGCAGTCGTGTGCTGTGTTGTTTCCTCCCCAGGTGTGGAAGCAGTTGTTTACCTCAGGCTGAGCAAACTCCTGCAACTTCGGGAAAGTTTTTGCTTCCTTTTAAATTGTACTAAATCTCCCTAACAAAAAGGGATCTTTTTTTTGGTCATTTGTGTTCGTCTTTCTCTGTCAGACTGCTGCCTGCAAACTTTGTATATTAGAGGCATTAATAAATAATCAATTTTACATAAATTTATGCACATATAATGTATATATAAATGCATATATACAGTTCCCTTCTCACAGAGTTTGAAGAGACCTTAGCATGCAACTAATTCTTGAGGTTGCTTTCCCTCTTACCATCCTGCCCAGCCCCCCCCCTCCCATTTTTATTTTCCAGATCATGTTGTGCTGCTGATGTCCAGTCAACCTCAGGATTTTAGGTTGGCCCTCTGGGTGACACTATTTGGTGAATTTGAATTTGACCCTTGGGAAACTCATTACTGAGCCTCTGGTAAAAGGGGAGAGGAGGACTTGCCATGAAAGTGGCCTGCAAACAAAGGCTGTGGTGGTGATTAAACCCTCATCACCTTGATGAGTGTGGTAGCTGCCGTGCCTGAATGGCACCCATTTCAAATGTCTCTTACATTTGGTAGTACAAGGAAAATGAATATAAGAATAAAAATACATGAAATAAATGGGAAGAGCATTCTTAGTCCTCCTACAATCATTTATTTGTTTTCAATAATGTTTAAATAAAAAAAAATTGTCAGGTTTTTAAAGATTTTTTTTTTCTGGTGATTCATAAAGTTGTACAAAAATATTGTGACCTTTCTGACTATGTTAGTGTATCTGGATGTCTGGAAGTGCCAGAAGAGGGCACTGGTAGTTTTGGTTATGTCCTGCTGGGGCAAGTCATCTTCCTCACCCCAATGAATCTTCTGACAGTCTCTGACCAGGATCTTTATTTCCTTATTATTAGGGAAGTGCCATGCTGTGTTAATCAACTTCAGTACGTAAGGAGGAGTTTTGTTTACTTGGTGCTAATAATGAGGCTTGATTGCATGACACCATACAGAATTCCTGGGGTTTTTTTCCCCCGTGGTTTATTACATTCACATGACTTCTTGTGTGTTTGTTGTTTAATACTATAATCTTTTTAAGATTAATACATAATCTCTTTAAGTACATGCTGTTTGCTTGTCTTTATACCTGTAGGTGGTGCTGAGGTGAAGCAATGTGCTTGTGTTCTCATTATAAGGGTATTTATATTGGTTTGTTTGGCTCTGCTGGCTCCTCAGGTTATCCTACCTTACGGATAGAGAAGAATGATCTTAAAAGTGTCACTCTAATGGAAGCCAAAGCTAAAGTGAAGGACATAGCCATCTCCAGGGAGAGGATAACTCTAAAAGATGTGCTCCAAGAAGGTATTTACAGGACTCTGACATTTGTTGGCTATAACATGGTGTGTGTGTGTGTCTATGTATATATGTTCAGGTTTTTTTTATAGCTAGATTTTTCTGAAACTAATCACAGATGACATTTCTGGTCTTCGTAACTTTGGAGGAGGAGAAGAATGATGAATGATGTTTGCATTTGAGGTGTGTAGGGGGTGGAGAAGGCAGTATCCAGAATTCATTAGAATGAGGGAGCAACTAATAGTGCTCAGTAAATCATTGTGCTTGTCTGTCTTAATAATCGGATCCTTTCAAGAATGACAGGGGTTAGATGGCTGAGGAGTGAGGTAACCAGTAACTCACTTTTGTAAGTTGGTGCAGGAGAACTTCTATTAACAACAACAAAAAAAATCATAACAAAAAAAGCCAAAGTCCACAAAAACCTCAGTCATCTGAACTCATCATCTCAATTTCATAGCTTCTGATTGGAAATCTGATCAGCAGGTGCAACATTTACAGCTCTGATGTGGAAAAAAATCCAAAACCAAACCCAAACTGATTACTCAATTCTTCTGTCTTGTTTAATGTTTACTTTGGAAGTGTTTATGTACAACATTAATTGGTTCTTGATGATGTTGAATTTGGGAAATAGACTGAAATATTTAGGGTTCTTTTGTCATTAATCTTTACTGCTGCAACTTCAAGTCCGTGTTTCCTGAGCCTCATGAGAAATCAAACTTTCTGAAGCTGGAGATCTGAGCTGCTTCTCCTTTGAGGGTAGAACTGCTAAATGGTTTGCATCACTGTCTGAAAAACAATGGGAGGATGCTAACACCCCCTGTTTAATGTATGCCTCAGTCTCTAAGGAGGTGGCTCCAATGTTGGTTCTGCAAAAAGCTTCCTTTGCACACGGGATGTGCTTCATGTTCCTCTGTCCTGGCTGTGGCCGGTAGCTGGGATGTCAGGAGTCATCCCATGACTTGAAGTGACTCAGTGCTGCAGCTCCACTTCAGATGTTCAGTGCCAGAGCTGCCCTGCAGTGGGAGATGCAGTCAACAGTCGGTTTAAGCTGCAATGTGGACCCAGTTAATTGGCTTTCAGTTAGTGTTTGAGTCTCTCAAAACCTTAAAAGACAGAGTGTGATGAGTAATCATCTATTTTAGTTCAGGGTCGCAGCAGAGTTGAGGCCTTGCCATCTAAGAAAGAAAGAGCTTCAGAGGGGAAGAAGTGTGTGAAATTTTCAAGAATTGATAAGTGCTGATGATGGAACTTAAACATATTTTACAGATCTTGGCCAGAGATTCATTATAAATGTCAAGTAGCTTCCATAACTTACCCTACTTATAATCTCCTAAATTATTAATATGTTAGTTTTTGCTGTGGTGTAACCAGTTGGGAAATGCAAAGCACCAGGTCTGAGAGCGCATGGAGGGACCTATAGGGGCCTTTTGTGTGGCTGGACTTGCGTAGTACCTGGTTCTGAACCTACATCAAGTTTATATAGTATTAAATGTAAGACAAAAAATGTAGGTGTCTTTAAAAAAAAAGTTTTGAATGGAATAGCTACACGTCAACAAATGGAGCAGATGCTAACAGTACATTGGACATTTACCATTTTCTGGTGGATTAGAGAAATGTCTTAGGTGTCCAGTCTGGAGAATAAGGAGCAGAATCACAGAATATCAGGAGTTGGAAGGGACCTCAAAGGATCACCCAGTTCAACCCCTGCCAGAGCAGGATCACCCAGACCAGGTCACACAGGAACACGTCCAGGCGGGTTTTGAATGTCTCCAGAGAAGGAGACTCCACAACCTCCCTGGGCAGCCTGGTCCAGTGCTCTGTCACCCTCATGGTAGAGAAGTTTTTCCTCATGTTCACCTGGAACCTCCTATGCTCCAGCTTGCTCCCATTGACCCTTGTCCTGTCATTGGACATCACCGAGAAGAGCCTGGCTCCTTCCTCTTGACACTCGCCCTTTACACATTTATAAACATGAATGAGGTCACCCCTCAGTCTCCTCTTCTCCAAGCTAAAGAGACCCAGCTCCCTCGTCATAAGGGAGGTGCTCCACTCCCTCCATCATCTTTGTGGCTCTGCGCTGGATTCTTTCAAGCAATTCCCTGTCCTTCTTGAACTGAGGGGCCCAGAATTGAACACAATATTGCAGATGTGGTCTCACCAGGACAGAGCAGAGGGGAAGGAGAACCTCTCTGCCCTACAACCACACCCCTTCTGATACACCCCAGGATGCCATTGGCCTTCTTGTCCATCCTGGTCATCCTGCTGTCCACCAACACCCACAGGTCCTTTTCTGCTGTGCTACTCATCAACAGCTCAGACCCCAACCTATACTGGTACATGGGGTTGTTGTTCCTCAGATGCAAGACCCTACACTTGCCCGTGTTGAATTTCATTAAGTTTCTCCCTGCCCAACTCTCCATCCTGTCCAGGCCGCACTGAATGGCAGCACAGCGTTCTGGGGTGTCAGCCACTCCTCCCAGTTTGGTGTCATCAGCAAATGTGCTGACAGTGCACTCTGTTCCCTTGTCTGGCTTGTTGAATATATTGAATAGTACTCGTCCCAGTACTGACCCCTGGGGGACCCACACTTAGATACAGGCCTTCAACTGGACTCTGTCCCATTGACCACAACTCTCTGACTTCTTTCCTTCAGCCAGTTCACACTCCACCTCACTACCCGTTCATCCAGTCCACACTTCCTCAGTTTAGCTGTGAGGATGCTATGGGAAACAGTGTCAAATGCTTTACTGAATTCAAGATAAACCACATCCACTGCCCTGCCAGCATCCATCCACCTGGTTATGTTAATCTGTCACAGCCCTTTCAACCTGATCAAACAGGACAAACCAAGGTGGGAGGGAAGTAACACATGCACAGACTGCGTGAAGGTGATGCATGTTTGTGTCGCGGCAATAGCATGACAAAAAAGCACTACTAAGCTGGGTTGTATAAAAAGTTAATTCTGTATGTGTTACCATGCTGCCCTTCTTACTCCAGCCTTTCAGTGTAGCTCCTTTTCCTGCAATAACTTCATTAGAATTTTGTGAATGGAAAAATGGTGGAGAGGCTGAAAAAACCCAAACAAACCCAGCACCTTCCAGCTGAGATGAAACATTTGAATAATGTGATACTGTTTTTTTTCACTGTTTCATGTGTACAAGTTGGCTGAAACCAGTGTTTCCCTGTGAACATTTCCAGAAAAATTTCATCTTTGTGCGACATGTTTTGACTGGAGAATTCCAGAGCTGCTGGGTGAGAAAAGGATGGAGCTGGGTTTTTAGTTCAGCCAGTTGACAAAGAGTGAACTGCCACAAAGAAACCCATCATCAGTGTCAATACTTTAACTGGGTTCTGTTGCTATCATTAGTTCACTCCAATACTTGTCCCCCCCAAATTTTAGTTGTCTAAACGTTACGCATTTACTGCATATAGTTCAGAATCCACCTATAAAGGAGAGGTGGTAGGGTTATATATTGCCCACTTAACAGGGCATTCAGGTATTCTGCCTTAACAGCTCTTGTTCCTAACTTTCTGCGATGGCTGAATCATTTTAAGGTGGTGTTTTCTTAATAGATACTAAATTCTGATAAAGTTATCAGTTTATTTTTACCACATATTACCTAATTATGTGTTCTCTTTATAGGCACATTTGGGCGCATTTTCCATGGGATTCTAATAGAAGAAAAAGACCCCAATAAAGAGAAACAAGTTTTTGTCAAAACTGTTAAAGGTACGTTTGCATAAAGGAGAGATTTTTTTAGTATCTGGTTGTTTGGATTGTGGTGCATGCTGAGTGTATCAAATCCGTCTTTCAAACAAACCCCTCCTCCCCAAAATACACAAATGGCTACTGCTTAAAAAGCAAAAGCAATTTGGATGCTGCCTTCAGTCAGCGAGAACAGAAATCTTATATGGAAGAAAAATGTGTGTTCTCTCCATCGGTGCCTTCAGTTACTGCGTCGTGCATGCTTTTGCTTATTATTCTTCTAAGTAAAAAAGATATTTGTTGTTTTTTTTCCCCTAGCATGTCATCCCCAGCCTTTTTCCTTGCAGATTACTGCAAAAGGCACCTGCAGTGCATCCTAAAAATCTCTTCTAAACGTATGTGGCTGTACAAAAGATAAGGCATGGTTTCTGCCATCATTAAACTTTGCTACTGAAGCATAAGAATTATAATTTCAAAGTTAATTTGTACAAATAGAGCATCTTTGTTCAAGATACACATTATTGAAGTGATTTTAACTATGATAGGTAGACTTAAGAAATGACACAATAAGGTATGTTTCACATACCCTACATAAGTATTACATATATCCCACATATATTGCTTCTTCTACACTTGGAATTGTAATTGTTGTCTAGTAGCTCACAGCGGTGTTGCTGAATTCCCCGTTCAGGAGTTGCTTCGCAGTTATTTTTGTAACTTTAGTTGGCTGTATTACTGCCTTTGGCTTTTCATTTTACAACTACTTTAGTTCTTTCTTAAAAAAATAATAGGCTTTTATAAGAATTGCAGTCTTTTAAAAGTTTTTCTTCACCTGGCTAGTGATTTTTAATGTTACTAATTTTAAAGAGGAAGGTGGGAACTGGTGAAGCTGCTGAATTTTGCTGTTGTTGAATCTTTCTGCTACCCATTTATTCTGTGCCATTCTAAAAAAAAGCACATTGCTTAAAGAAGGCAACTTTATACTATTCTTGGTGTGTTCCTCATACAATCAGGTGCTTGTGACAATGAAAATATAAATAAAAATAGTTTAGGTAGAAAGCCTGAACTGTGAGGTGGGATGGGGACCAACAGGAGGGTAACCTGGGAGTAAATGTGTCTCAGTATGAAGTCAACCAGCTGAGCTTGATCTGCGCCCTGGGACAACTGCGTGTGTTTCTGCTCATGGGATTCACGGAGAGCTGAACAGTGAGGATTTGCTGCTGTCACCTTTCCTGCTCTTTTCTCTTGCACATCCTTGTGGGCATTCCTAGATTGAGTGGGACAGTTAACTCTCATAATTGCAAGATACTTCCATTATTTCTTCAGGAGGGCCTCTGAGATGGTACACTTTACTTCTGTTGATGGTACACTACTCCCTGTTGAGTCCAGAGAGGACTTTTGAAAAGTAGATATGCTGCCCCTTTGGAAGAAGTTGGTAGCTGCCATTTAGCATGTGGGTGTTAGCTAGAACTATGTCTGCTGAATTAGTTGCAGCCTTAACAAAATTAATGGTCCTCGTATATAAAAGGCAAGTATTTTCTTGTGGTGACTTCTAGCAAGAAACAAAGGAGCATTCTCAATTAAAAATAAGTATGCTTCTTTCTAGTATTTTGGGAGCTTTTCCTGAACTTTGCCCGTTCCTGTTTGCCCCTCCCTGCCAAATGATTCTCATTGTTTTCCTTTTATTTGATACAGTTTTCAAAAGACTTGTCCCATATAACGTGAGCCTGGTGCTTCTTTGTGTATGAGGCCACTTAAATTGGAGCATCGTTCACCTTAATCTGCGAGCCCCTTCGCTCTGTTATTTGGTGGTTCTGTGCCAGAGTCAGTGAATGCTATGGCTCTTGTGAGCCCCAAAATCATTATTAAATAGGACAGTTTGACATCTGTACAGCACTACTCAAACATGGCTTCTCTTACAGCATCAGTTTAAATGACAACACAACATTTGTGAGGACAGATCTTAATTTGGCTGCCTCCCATCACCACTTATCTATTCGCTTTACCAAAATAGGCCTTCCAATCCACTCCTAAAGCTGTGTTTCTTCCTTGCAGTGCCTTGTATCTTTGATATGGCACACATCCTGGTTTCTCTTGCCCTTCCCTTTGCAATGAAAGATTTGCTGGCTGCAGTGAACTGGAGTGTGGTCTTCAGGGAGTAATGGTATTCATGTAATTGTTGTCTGTAGAGAATTTCTCAGCTTTAAAAAAGATCTATATGGCCGAAGATTATAATAGCTTTTACTGATGCTTGTCTGTGAAGTAATACTGGTTTGGGCAACAGATCGTTGCTAGGAAAATAACTGTAAACATCCCCACTTCTCCTCACAGCAATTCATTTGCAGTGCTAATATTAAGCAGCTTCGTCTCCGTATCCTGGCTGTGATAGCTGTGTGTGCAGCTGGGTCATGTAATAAGTTGGGAATTTGATCTTGAAAAAAAAAAAACAAACCACAACTGAAAAAATTCTCTTAACCAGACTTTTTCCTTGATCTCACTCATTCTGTGGCCACACACACTGCTGTTTTGGCGCAAACACAGGAGTAGGGCAGGACCATAAAAGTGAGATGGGTATGAGAACTATTAAACTGACTTAATATCTCTGTTGCTGAAGGGAAGAAAGGAGCCTGAGGGTCATGGAAAAGAGACAAAGAAAAAAAGCTTTGTCTGTGTAGCTAAGTTATCCCCCCAAAAATGTACAGGCTGCTCCAGAACTCTTATTTTACCTGGTGGTGCAGTCTGATAATGTCCAGTGGTACCCTAAATGACAGTAATATTGTCTATGTGTTTCAGATCTTCTGAAAAATGTGAGCTGAAATTCTTTCAGCAGGTGCTGAGAGGAAGAATAACTATCTTGAGAGGAGAAATTCCTCTCTCTTCTCAGCAAGATCAGAGTTTGAGAAACTTAAGACAGTGCCTTGGCTGTTTTGGTACTAGGATAGCTGCTACAACTTTAAATTTGGACTTGCCAATAGAAGAAATACTTTGGAAGGAGAACACTTGGACATGGCAAATATGATCAGTACACTTGTGCCCAAACTGGAATTTTATATTAGAAACATAATCATTTGGATTGGAAGGGACCTTTAAAGACCATCTAATCCAACCCCCATGCCATGGACAGGGACATCTTTCACTAGATCAGGTTCCTCAAAGCCCTGTCTAACCTGGCCTCGAACACTTCCAGGAATGGGGCATCCACAGCTTCTCTGGGCAACCTGTGCCGGTGTCTCGCTGCCCTAATTGTAAAAACCAACCAACTAAAAAAAACCCATAAAAACCCCGCTACACAAAATAACAACAACAACAAAACCAAAGATCAAAACCCCAAAATTTGTTCCTGATGTCCAATCTGTATCTACCCTTTTTCAGTTTAAAACCATTGCCCCATGTCCTGTAAGCGCAGACTATGATAAAACTTCTTTCTCCATCTTTTTTATAAGTACCCTTTAAGCATTGGATGGTCACAATAAGGTCTCCCTGGAGTGATTTCTTCTCCAGGCTGAACAACCTCGACTCTCTCAGCCTACCTCCGTAGGAGAGGTGCTTCAGCCATGCCACGGCCCTTCCCTGGACCTGCTTCAAGAGGCCCATGTTTGTCTTGTGCTGGGGACTCCAGAGCTGGATGCAGTACTATGAGTAGGCTTTCATGAGAGTAGAGAGGGAGGATCACCTCTCTCTACCTGGGAATTTTGTCTAGACATGACCTTAGTTGGTGCAGTTGTCTCCTGTGTCCGTGGATTTAAGCCTTCACCCCTGCAGAATAACACCAGAGTACCAGAGTGGTTTTGTGTTGGCTGTTACCATTGCAAGCTATGTTGAACATAGCAAGTTTGCATTGTGCAGAGTGGTAAAGCCAGTGGGTGAAGTGATAAACTGCTAGACGTGCCCAAGAAAGTCCAACAAGTAGTATAACTTGGGACTGGAAGGCTTCCTTGAGCCATAAACAACTCCTGCATGTTGGCTTTTGGGAGAAGACCTCTGCTGTGCTAGGAGAGATGTCTAAGAGGGGTTGTTGGGCCATTCAAGTACTGGTTTCTGAATACCTTTCATTAAGAAAACCTGTGAAGAAAGGTCATGCCAGAGATATATGGCATGGTGCTTACATAATGGATATCTTCTTCCTTGTGTTCCTTTTTTTTACTGTATTAAAAGATCTGTAAGCTTTCAGGATGGGTTACTTCCTAATAATGTGGACAGAGGTGAATGCGCTGTAGGTTTTCTCATTTCATATCCTGGAGAAGATGAATATTGTGGCTGATGTGCTCATCAGGCAATAGTTAGGTCTGCGAGTATTTCCCACTGAGGGGAGTGTGTTTGCAACCTCCTCTGTTTGCCTCTTTCCTGTCTTCTTACCTCTCCCTGAGGTTGATCCTTTTCACCAAAGGATCAAAAAGCAAAAATAGTTGTCTGGTTACGGCAGTAACTGCAGCAGCTCTTCCTGCTTTCCTTCCCTGCTGTTTTCCAGCCTTCTGGTAAGGTGTTGAGCATTTTTGGAGACCTGAAGAGTACTGACTGGAATCAAGAAGCCTTTATTTTTCTGAACTTAGCATTTGTTCTCCCTTCTGAAGTGATTTGCTGTTAAAGGAATCTGTAATACATAAAAACTGAGAAAGCCTTGACCTGCCCACCGTTGTCCTGGGAAACTCCTGAAGTGAAAGAGGCCATTCAGAAAGGGTGTGAGACCCGTTTCCAGGAATGTATTGTATTCCCCTTTTCTCAAGCTGGGATTGACCTGTTAGGTCACAGTCTTAAAGGGCAAGTTTGAGACTAAGAAAGCAACATCAGTGCAGGAAGCAAAGGGATTGGAGTTTCCGTGTTTCAAATTATTTGACTGGTTTCTCCTACACTACCAAATTCCTAGGGTCTTTCACCTGAACTGTCCGTTAAGTCATTGAAGTGCTTTTCAACCAATTCAGTGACTCCTTGTTCCGTAGCTTGTAAATTGATATAACTGAAAAGTTGGAGACAATTGTCTTGAAATCTTAATGCTGCATCTTTTATAAAAATAAAGACTGAAGGCA